GGGGGGCTGGCCAGGTGGCCTCTGGGAGGTGGCAGCGCTGACCCTTCTGTGGGTGGTGGGGGGCTGGCCTGATGTCCTCTGGGAGGTGACAGCGCTGACAGCTGCAGGCCGGGTGACCCTGTGGCCATTGTTCTGCTTCCAGGTATGACGAGGAGCTGGCACAGGGGGACGGGGCCGACCGCGAGCTGAGAAGTCGGCCGGGCCAGTCTCTAGGGCCCAGAGGCAGCCGGTCCAGGGACTCGGGCAGGACCGTCCTCACGACCTGGAAGTGACAGCCCATCGGGCAGCTGGAGAGGAGCCCGGCACACGGAGCACTCGGACCGGCCTGGCGAGTGCTCCACCTGGCCGTTGACAGGCCTGATTTTGGAAGTTCCCTCTTTCTATATGGCTTTTCTTTTCCCCAGCTGTGAATAAACACAGCACGCCTGGAAGACGGGGAGTCGGTCTCCTGAGGGCTGAGCGCCGACCCGCAGCTCGAGGGCAGGTCACAGCTCAGCACGTGGCTGGTTTCCTGCGACAGTCACACTGGCAGTTTGGCTCCAGGTTAAAGCAAAGGGCAGAGCCTGTGAGCGACACGTTTAACACAGTCACTGTCCGGGTTCCGTCCCTCTGTGATTGATGGGCATTTTAGAGAAAATGGGCAAGTGGGAATTTTCCCAGGACCCCCCGAGCGACCTGCACTTCACCTAGAGACTACCTGCAAGTTAGACAGAGGAGGCTCTCTGTCAGCATCGGGGTCTCCACTGCTGGGCTTTGGTGGAGACGCTGTGGGATCCAACATGTTGGCGCCAGGATGCCAGTGACCCCAGAAAGACGTGGGGAAGAACTTGAACCTCTGGAGAGTGACTGATGCTTCCTGTAATTCCAGGAGGAGCGTCAGTGACAGCTTGGCTCCCACTGTCCCCTGTGGGGGCATCTGACGCTCGTGCTCTGTTGCAGCAGGTACGATGCCTGGACATGCCTCTCACACCCCTGACCACTTCTGCCACCACGTTAGTGACAGAACGTTCTCACAGCACCTCACCTAATACGCCCTGCAGGCAGTGTTCATTATCCGAGGTCCCACCGTCCCTGTGCACAGGTGTGAGCACGTGCCAGGTGTGCTGTTACCTGTCGTATGAGTGGCTGGAGATCACTCCATCCTTGTGCATGGGTGTGAGCACGTGCCAGGTGTTCTGTTACCTGTCGTAAGTGTGTGTGTTTATTCACTGCCAGCAAAGATCTCCTTCAGACAGCCACGGCCCCACCTCAAATGAAAGAAGTGTATTTGGCCAGAGCCGGAACCAGCAGCAGTTTGAGGGCTTTGTGTTTAAGCTTGAACTTGTCTCACAGTATGCACTGATTCATACCTGCCCTCCACTGCGTCCCTGATGTTTAGATTGAATGTTAAAAACCAACCAACCAAAACAAAACAAAACAAACCAATCCAACCAACCAACGTGAAGCCTTAGGAATAACCACGTGGGTCTTGGGTTGGCCTGGGTGAGGGTCCTGGGAGGCCCCCTGAGGAACTCTGTCCTTGGGGTGACCTCTGGGGTCTAGGACCCGGTCTCCTCACCTGTAACACAGGTGCCGGGCATCTGATGGCCTTTCCTCAGCCCTACCATGCCTCTCGCTCTACTCCACGCTGTCTGCCTGCCCTGCTTCTGCAGGTGCTGGTACCTTTGTCACCTGAGCCCACAGTGGTGGAAGGCCAGGTGACCTTTGCCTCCTCCCATCCCCCAACCCTTCCCACCTGTGTGATCCATTGGCCTGGACTGTTCTCACCATCCCCCCACTCAGGTCTAGGGGGAGGATGGGCTTGGGGAAGGCTGACCAGTGTCTGAGGACTGAGGAGACCGGTCATCTGGGCCAGTGTGGTGATTGGCTGGTGTGCAGGCTGCTAGGTGGGCAGTGGTCTGTTCAGTAATGTGGCAAATTTGGCTGTTACAGTGACACCATGTCCTGAGGCAAATATTTCCTCTTAGGCTCTCAGAGCCCACAGGATGGGATGGGCACAGCCTCCGCAGTGACCCAGAGACCCTGGGAGTGGACAGTGCTGTCCATACACAGGGCGGCATGGGCGGAGCCTCCAGAGCAGCCCAGAGACCCAGGAAGTGGACAGTGCTGTCCACACACACAGGGCAGGATGAACGCAGCCCCTGGAGCAGTCCAGAGACCCCCACACAAAGGGCAGGATGGGCGGAACCTCTGGAACAGCCCAGAGACCTCGGGAGTAGACAGTGCTGCCCACACACAGGGCCAGACGGGCGCAGCCTCCAGAGTGATGTCCACACACAGGGCAGGGAGAAGTTTATCTCTGTGCCTGGAACTGGAGGCTGGGAGACGCTGGGTGTGTGTTGCTGTCCACACGCAGGCTGGGGGCCACGTGGAGGTGCACCTGTGTGCCTGGAACTGGGGAGGCCCTGCATGTGAGCACTGCTGTCTGCACACAGGCCGGGTGTGGGGAAGTCGTTCTCCAGGCCCAGACCTGGGAGATGCAGGGTGTGAACGTGCTGTTTGCACTTGGCCTGGGCCCGCCTCCGTACCTGTACCTGTGACTACTTCTCTGCTTTCCTCAGGCCCAGTGACTTCTTCCACTTGATTCAGGAACCCTGGTGGTTGAGGGGCACCTGTGCATCATTCTCCTGGGTTTCCCCACGTCATGCAGCTGACTCCACCACCTGCCTCCTGGCCCCTTCATCACCCTTCACCAGAGCGCCATGGTTTGAGACGACATCTGATTTGTTTGTTGTTCCCTGAGTCAGCCTCCTCCCGGGCAGCTGCCCCTCTGTGTCCACATAGACACGGTCAAGCCAGAACTGAAGGTGTGGTCCTAAATGCCTGTGCCCTGCAGCGTCCCCGAGCCCAGTGGCTCTGTCCTCTCTGTCAACTGGTGTCCTGCTCTTCCCGAGTACATTTCCCAGCTCTTTGCTTTGACATGAAAGAACTGCATTGAAAAGCCAAAGTATAGTGCTCAGTTTAGCAGTGAGTTGTTAAAGAGACAGCTCTCACCCTGGGCGGTGACAGTTGTCCCCTTCTCCAGGAAGCCCACCCAGCGGCCCAGCAGCCGTCCCCAGAGCTCAGACCCTGGTATCACAGCACCATCTGTCTGTGGGACTGGAGGTTATAGGTACCACTTGACGTGATTTGGTGGATTATGTTCTGGGTGTAGTAGGAACCCTGTAAAATCTTTCCTGTAAGTAGGCAGGCCCATAAGCTCACCAGTAACTCCAGGGATGTCTGAGCTGCTGTGAACAGTGACTACATGAGATGGAAAGGCAGGATTTGTCCAGGGGGAAAACTGCGAGGGCAGGAGGGGGAATGGAAGACACGGAGAACAGTAAAAATGAAGGAGGAGGGGGCGCTGGTACGTTGTAGCGGATTGCAGCCAGCGTCATGACACAAAAGATGCGTCAATTGTTGACCACCTGTCCAGCTCTGAGGAATGTCACCCAACCCATCACTGAGAAAGAGAATCGCTCGATTCCTCATGGGAACTCCTGCAGTTGCAGCGCTAACAGTGCCCGTCTGCTTGGCCCGGGAGTTGCCCTCACAGCTGGCATCCGTGGACGGTTGGAGGAGGAGAGGGTGAGTGGTGTGAGCCGTGCGGTGCTGCAGGACGGGGCCCCCAGAGCAGCACCTGCACCAGCCCCACGCCCGCTGCTCCGCTCAAGCTGCTTGTCGCAGTGACCATGTCAGCCGCTCGGCTCACCGACGGTCCCCTCATTTTTGTTGACTCTCTGCTTTGCCAGGAGCACCCGAGGCCTAGTAAGGACTTGTGCTGTCAACCCAAAGGCTGATGATTCAAATCCACCAGCTGCTCTGCAGGAGAAGGACGGGCAGTCCCCTCCCGTGCGATTTGCAGCCTCTAAAGGTTCTCACCACTGGGCGGATTTGCAGCATCGGTATGGATGGTGAGGAGATTGAGATAGCTAACAGTTTTCGTTTACTGGGTTCCACAGTCAGTTCTCTTGGTAACAGCAGACAGGAAGTCAAGAGACGAATTGCATTGGGGAATTCAGAGTAACGGCATCAGGCTGGAGACTAATGTGCACCTGATCCAGACTATAGTCTTTGCAATTACATGCTATGCGTCGGAAAGTTGGACAGTGAATAGGGATGACAGAAAGAGAATTGATGCCTTTGAGCTGTGGTGCTGG